CATTGTATTATGGTTTGTGTTTGTCCTCCATACCATGTAATCATGGTCATGAGTTAAATAAAATAGGAGGAGGAAGTAGTACAGCAGAATCAGCGTGTTGCAAAATGGAGAGATTATCTTTGTGCTGTAGGATTTTGTTAAAAGACCCATTTCAGATGTTTCAATTGAATTGTTTTTCACAATAAAAAGGTAAATTGCCTTGTTAAAAATTCTTCCACTCCTGCCCCCAGTAAAAATGAATAAAGTTCCAGGTTTCCACATCACAACATACACATCGGACCACGTCTTCTAGAGTCCCAATTCGCTGTATTTTCAATTGTGACTCCTTGAGATTTAAAGTGATCGGAGAACGTTTTCCAGCTTATCAAATGAGTGCTAAAACATTCATTTGGTATCAAATTCGGCACATTCATCATTCTGCCTAGTGAAGCTCAAACATCCAAGTGAAGCAGCAAACTAAACATTTAATTGGAGGGGGGGACTTTAAATAGGAACTTTTAATTAGACTACAGTAATTTATACAAAGACAACACAGATTATTGATGTCAACTTTACATAGTTGTACAATATAAACTTTTTTTTTTTAGTATTTACATCACAATGTTTTGGAACAGCTGACAGTAAACAGAATTAAGAACAACAGTGGTTTCCAGTTACCTAGTTGACATGTGTCATCACGGGTGAGAGGTCAAAGGTCACAGTTAGCTCCTACTGAACACAGAGCTGGGAGGGTCTTGCTCACTGATGGAAAAGCTTGAACCCACGTTAAATGCAACTGTCATGTCACAGAACTCTACAGGCGATCTATTTTTGAGAAAATAAATGTAGTTTATTAAACATTTTTCCCTCAGGTCTGGACCCTGAGGTTCAACTCGGCCAATAAAACAAGACCTCTGCCTCCAAGACTCCATTCTGTGGGTATTTCACCAACAGTCTGTATTCTGCAGCCTCTTCCACTTACACTTCTCCTCCACCTGCTGTTTCCTGCTCTGTCACCTTGTCCTCCGTTTCCTCTTTGTGTGTTACATTTGCTCTGTTTGAACCCGTCCCCAGCATCTTAGCGCTGTGCTCCTGCGCCTTTGCTCGCAGTGCAGCAATACTGCTCTCCCTCAGTTCCTCTCTGGAAATTGGGGAGTTAGTGTCTTTCCTCTGTTTCTCCTTCTCTTCCTCCATTGCTTTGCCCACTGGTTTCTCCTCTGCTGGTGTTGGGGTTGTACTGCTGGGTTTGCCTGGAGAGCTGTGTGAGGTTTCAATGGACTTCTTGTGCATACCTAAAGAAAACAGCAGGATTTTTTTAAATTAGAGCTTACAAGAGATGAACTTTCTAAGATAATGTCATTATGAGGGTACAAAACACCCGTGTCTTAGTATGCAGTGATGTAAACGGAAGCTTCTATTGAAGCTTCTCAAACATGAAATTCTGTTGTGTACTGAGGTGTTTGAGACTGAACTAAAGTGGGAAAGAGAAGGAAGACGAATGGGATAGATAATTGATAGGACTTCTTATTCGATTGGATTCACCTAATTGATTTAAACCAATCAATTGACATGAGGTGAAACAGGAGATTTGCTCTAATCTGTCCTGATGAAGTAGGATTATCACCATACCGACTGCTACATCTTGTTGACCTGCTGACACGTTTATTGGCTCCTTAGCTCCCATTTCCTCTCATTAGAATGCATCTTAATGACTGTACCAAACATAATGAGGCAACTTGAATTAGAATGTTTTGGTTCTTGTATTAATGGCAAACAGAGAGAGATAAACCCATCTTGCAAATGAAATATGAGCAAAGGGTAGACAGGGTTGACATCAGTTTGGCTTTTTGAGATGGAGGGTGTTAAAAGCAGCCAGAAGGAGACAGAATTGATTCAGATGGGATGTTCTTCCTTCAGGGTGCTTTAGCATATAAAGCTAGCATTTTTTTGTTAACATTGGTGACCTAGCATGGTCATGATTTTACATTTGTGTTATTGAATTACTATGATTTTAACGTGGGAGTCATTTGAGCTTTGTGTGATGATCGTGCTTCGTGCCACATTAGCAGAAAGCATTCTACTTGATCGAGTAGCACTGTGCCTTATCATCTTCAGGGTAAGCAGTACAGATAATGGATGGATTCTACTGGATTGCCAAATTTACCCATTGATTCTAGCTTTGGATTGGAGACTGCATTATGTAGTTTGCTGCAACGAAGCATCTGTTATTTCCATTGTCACTAAGAAACAAACTGTCTCACTGGACCCTCTAGCGGCTGAAAGGAACTTAGGTAGAATACAATATCTTTTTTTTAAAAAGAGCCAGCAAGCCGATATCTGTAGGGTTACTGGCTCTGCATGCGAGACTCTGCATGTTTATTGCCAACATTTTTTTGTTTTTAAAGGTGCAGTGATGGAGGATGGTGGTTTTTAACTTTTTTCACCATCAAACTTTTTTGCTTACTAACCTCCATCACAAACATCATGGCAGTTACAGACTACTGTACATAATTATGGTTTCTGAGAAGTAGTAGAATATGCAAACACTCAACTCAGCGTGCCAGGGACCCAGCATGTACACTACCAGGAAATAGATAAATGAATCTCGCCCAGCAGTAATTTTATTATTTAGATCTGCACTTTTCCTATTGTGACAAGTCAAAATGTCTGTCTGTCTAAAAACCCTAAGTAGCATGTAGCAAACAATTCCGCAGCAACTCACCTAGTAACCATGGGGCATAAGAGTCTGTGATGCCATCCTTGGCAGACTTGAGGATGGACTCAGGCAGTGGGATGGAGTGACGGACCATGGCTCCATACAGGCCATACTCTGCCATCACACTGCTGCGGCCCCAGCACTTTTCCCTTTTCCTCCACTTTGCCCTACGGTTCTGAAACCACACCTGGAGAGATGAGGATAAGGATTAGAGCACATTTATGTGATACACCTGAGCCTTGACTTTGTTTTAGTAAAGTGGTAAATGTCTTGTGTCCAGCTGTTAAGCTTTTGAAATGAAACACAGTTACAGATTCAGACGGTGGATTTTTCTATGAGAATAAACGTCATGTTAAGAATTTTGAATGAGGACATTTGAGCCTTTGTGGAAACAAAAACATGAAACGTGTGTGTTAATTGTGTAGGGATGGGATATTTAATACATTTAAAACCACCATCTCATTTCTTAACTGCTCCCAGCTTCTTAATGCTTGTGACAGTTGTATCGGTGTTGCAGCTCTTTATTTTGCAGATCAACTGATTGGTATCAGTAGAACAATAACTGCTGGGGGTTTAAAAGCATAATTATCTGTTTTTGAAGAAGAGTGGTATCCAAAGATCTTGACTCAGAAGAGTGTTTGCTTTGTGTGTGTACATCCACTAGGTCTATTATAAACTCAAAATGTGACACCTTTTTTTTCTTTGGGGCGTCTTCTGTCTATTATGAGTGTGTATGCATGTGTTTGTGCTTGTATATTATTCTCCAGGCTCCTCAAGTGCCTTAATTGATCTCCACCAAACCAGACAGTGTAATAGCCCCAGCAAGCTTGTGAATATGGATGAGGAAAACAGGGGGAAAATGTGCATCCTAAAATGGCTGAGGAGGCAGGATGAGATTCTATCGAATGATGTGGTATGTGTGTGTGTATTTTGCAGACTTGGAATTAAAAACGATCAAAGCTGAGCCTGGAAAGCTATTCAGGTACAGCCGATGATAGCCTCCATCTCATAAAAAGATGAGCAATCATGTTTTTTGACAGCAGCACTGTGAGTGTGCATGAGGTGTGCGTGCTTTTGCTTTGTGTGTCTGAAGTGGTTCCTGCTAGAGGTGACCCTGGGGGGCAAAGAGGCTGATTGAAAAATAAGTTAATTTCCACGGCCCAATCGATGGGAGGCAGGCGCTCAAATATCACGGGAAATTAAAATGCTCATAGCAGCCTGGTGGAGCTCTCCACACAGCCACTGGCCTCTGCTAATTAAATTCCATGTAGCCATCATTTCATTTCAGGGCTATGGCTCAGTTCTCACTGCGTAACAGGTGAAAGTTCTCCACTTATCTAATTACACCGAGAGGAAGAATTGGCTGCCAATGTGGAAGCAGGAGGGCTGAGAGGATGATGATGATGATGGAGCAGATGACTGGTGGTTCTACCTGTCTGCCTGAATGTTTACTTGTGACAAATCTGTCTTCATCACTTTGTATAACCTGGAATGCACTATGACAACAAGTCATTTTTAACTTGGAGGTAATGCTGAAGAAGCTTGCTTCAGGTACATATCTGAATTATTTGTGCAAACCACTTTATTTTTAAGAAGGTGATTTTCTTGTCCAGTTTCTTCTCATTGATTAAAGCATCATCAGCGTTTGAAATTAAAGGTAATAACAGAATGATACCCCACATTTCAGCACACCTGTATTCTGTCCTCTGGCAGCTCCGTCTTCATGGAGAGCATCTCCCTGGCATAAACATCTGGATAGTGAGCTTCAGTAAAGGCTCTCTCCAGCTCCTCCAGCTGATAGGAAGTGAAAATGGTCCTGCAGATTTAAGAACACAACATAATAATACTACCAAATTTAAATGACTGCATAAATGCTTTTTCTTGTATTAGTTACAAATGTATTTCATTTTTTACATTTTAAATTTCTCTGTAAAACTGCACTTTGACCAACATCTGGCGCTTTAAACAGCTGACCATTTTAATTAATTTACCACAATAATGACACCAATATAAGTATATTTTCATATAATTTCAGTTTAGTCCACCTACAGAATAGAAGGGATGAAGCTGCGCGCACTCAGCGTGACATTAAGCGTGTGCGCTCCGGTAAAATAAGAACAACAACAGAGGAACTTGGAAGCATAAAGAATATAGTGTAGCCCCTATATATGTGAAAATATAGCCACGAATATTTCGGATGATTTCAGCAGCAACGTGCATTTCAAAGGGCAGCTCGGAGAAAACTACTGTGACTGAAATGAGGCTCTTTCGACGAAAAGTCCAGTGTCGAAATATGTATCAAGCCTATGAATATGATTTCCAATGTTGAACGTTTTCCACTATTTTGTTTTAATTCACCTGCGTTTTTTTTTTTGTTTGTTTGTTTTTGTTTTACCTGTGTCGTCTTTTCTTTCGTTTCTTGCTCTGACACATGGACGACTTGGAGAATTTTTGATCCCCGGAGGAGAGGCTCATGTCATCGGAGTCTGTGAGGAGACATCAGCAGTAATATTAACAGGCTGCTAATAATAATGAGAAGAAAAAGAAATAGTCATCCAGATCTTTCTCCCAGGTTTTCTTTATTCGTGTAATTGTCATTTCTGATGATGTCTTACGGCTGATTTCGATCCAACAAAAAATAGGCCTATGCGCTTAGAAATAAAAACGGTCTCTCTAAATTGGACCAAATTAAGTCCAAATGATTTTTAGCATAGCTTCTACACATTTAGATATTTTATAAAGGTACGTTTATAAAAAAAAATCGTCTAGCTCCCTGAATTTTAAATTAACTTAAATCCCCTTTAATTCGACCTCAGGGTTCCAAATCTTTGGCACTTGTACTGTTATGTGTTGACATCTTTTTATTTTGGTGAAATAAATTAATGTTGTGCGCTGATTTGCTTGGCATAGGAGCAGCCAAAACATCTAATATTTGCTGTAGAGTGCACAGGCCTACTCACCGGAGCTGGCGGAGTGCGGATCCACCTGCGCCTCCATGTGCGCCGCTCTGTGCAGCGGCTGCAGGTGCACATTTTGCGCCTCTGATAGCATCTCCAGAAAGGCAGGCTGACTGTAAAACGAGTGTATTCCCTCTGGTCCCAACAAACCCATGCCGACACCGAGACCCCCGTGTCCGAGAGCCGACCTGGTGGGCAGGACGTGCGCCCTGTGCGGCAGAGCCTCCAGCGGACGCCTCGGTGCCGCCGGGGGCTCCATGTTGAGGCCGAGCAGCTCCTGGATCCCAAAGCCGGTGCGCCGGTGTACCGTGGGGGCCATCTTCCAGCCTGGGGGCGGCTGCTGCGGTCCTCCGTGGTTTACGCCAATTTGTGAAGCCGATTTCATCTTATTCTCCGTGTCTGAAAGCACAGCTCCCTCCTTCCCTGTCATGGCGATGGGATTCCACTTTTTGTTTCCCCACTTTCTCCAAACCCCCCGAGTCCCTGGTGCAGTGAGCAGAGTGTTGCTTGTCTTTATCTCTGTACCCTCTGCTCTGTTCTTTTTATGCAACAGGCGTCAGCCAATCACAAGAGGGAACACACCGAAGTTTCCATCAGCCCAGTAAGCTTTTTTAAATAGATACTGTGACTTTTTGTGGAGAAAATATGGAATGCCATTGATAGGCTAAATAAATATCGCTACTATCTCCAGTATTGATAGGCCCATTTTCAGAAAGCCTGCTTTTCTACAGAAAAAAAAATCTTAATCAATTAGTTTTTATGTCAAATACGCGCTTTAGGCTACTTTCTTGTAAGTGATGTTTTGCTTCTGACTCAAATAAGAGATTAATGGTTTTTTTTTATTTAGTGCAAGAATATTTTGTTTTCACAGCATGTTTCTGTCGCTGACCATGTGATCCAGGATTCACCGGCTCTTCAAAACAGATTCAATCAGCTGGAGAAGTCCCTCAAATCGAGGAGAAGCTACTTGCAGCATGTTTGTCCGCCTTAAACGACGCTAGTGCGAAATTTAGACGTTTGAAAGAAAAGAGGTAAGTCTTTACACAAATAAAATAAATGTAAAAAGGCGCAGGCACAAATTTGCCATTGATTAAAGGCATAAAAAGCAAGGATGGTTAATTATGCATTAAAACCATGTGCATTACTGCACAATTCTGTTCTCTGTATTTGATCATTTACATTTACAGTCCACGCAAGAAGAGAATTCGCATTTCAGTTATCACATTTAAAGAAACGCTCATAAACGCACATCGCCAATTCTTCTATCAGTTCATCAGTTCTGTTTCTTTTTACCAGGACTACAAACGGATTGATCCACCACACTCGAGTTGGATCCACAACGTCCCCTACACTGTATTTGCATATTCCAATTAGGTTTGCGCACCAAACGTTTTGTTTTTGGTGGCAGTCTGGGCATCTGTTGATAGATTATTAAGCTTTTATTATTCTTTTATGGGTCACAATGTCCCATTCAGGGTATTTGGGACACACGAGGGTGGCAATTAGTGCACAATACAACAACACGCACACACACCAACTTGCATTTCACGTTTTTTTTTTTTTTGCTTGAGGTCTGCTAAAGATGTGGCTGAAAGGTTCCACTGTGTTTTAGCGCATCAACATGATTCTGAAAGTGAGAGCAAAGACATTTCAGGGGAAATCATCTGCTGCTTGTCGTCACACTCATTTAACAGAGAATAAACCTCAGCTCAAATTCAAACCCACTCGGTTGTGAAATGAAGTAAAAACGCTCTTATTTTCTCTCCGTCTTCACAAACATAATCCTCTCTAATCAGCTGTTTCTTTTAATTATTGCGGAGTTTCAATCGTTTGCAGATAATTTGCGGCACACTTTTGGACATCTGGACAGACAATTACGCAGAGGTGGTGATGAGTGGACGCGCACGATGGAAGCGAAGATAGCCAACAGTCTTCTCAGTGGGACATGTGGTGATGAATAAACAAATACATAGGTTGTTCCTATGGGACTGTTTGGCACCCGTGCGTCAGGCTGCCAGTGACGGTCAAACCCACAGGCCGCAGCAGATTTAGTGCCGTAATCTGAGATATGATCAGAAGATAATCATCCCGGTCACATCAGTTACTGGGCTCGTTGTTGTTTCTGCGCGTCTGGATGCTTTGTGCAACACACTGCGCATAGTCTCGCTGCACGAAAAGCGCCTAAGTAATACAAGGGAATAAAATTCAATTTAAAAAAAACCCCACTGAACATGTAATACTAGAACACCAAAAGGAGACAATCAGTGTTATTATTAGTCCAAGACATTAGATTTAGCCTTTATTTGCCTAATATGATGTGAAACTGAAATTTTATCTTAAAGAGAATCATGAATAATAAAAAAAAACGATCAATTGTTTGATGTGCTGGGGGAAAAAAAGTCAAATGGCCCTGATGTCAGAGAGAAGGAGCCAGGAGTTGGCCCTGCATCGACTTAAATTACCTTCAGCAGCTCATGAGAAGCGATTAGAGAGACATTTCATTAGAGCTGAATGAAGAGATCACTGCCATAGCGGTAGTTATGATAATGAGGCTTATACAACGTGCGAACAAGCAGATGATTTCCACCAACCACATCTTTCTACTTCGATTAGGATGCAGAGGTTTTTCTACACGGTATGTAAAAGAGGCAGCAGCTTCTTTACTCATGGTTCAAAAATCTAAAATCAGCTACAAACCAGCTAGAGGGGAATAAAATGACCCTAGGTTGTCTGAGAGTTTGGTGGAGTTTGGACATTTTATGCTACTGGTTTTACATTTAAAATAATTTCATTCTGGTTAAGACTATTACGACATCGTGTTTGCCAGAACAAGACATCAGGTTAAACTGCAAGCTGTAATAAATAAATAGCAGTTTAAAGACCAGTTATATCACTATATCATGTATTACAAGTTTTTTTTTTTAAAAGTCTTATAAATACCATGATTTAAGTAATGATATTATCGTATATTATAGTGCTGAATATGTTTTAGAGCAAGTCAGAAAATCTGTAAAAAAAAAAAAAAAGATTGTCATATTCCAGTTAATAACATTTTCTATAAACAGTGGTACAGCTATGATTTTGTAACAAAAAAAGACAATCTCAGTGAAGCCAATCATGACAAGCTGCTCGCTGTTTGGGAAAAAAGACAAAGAAAATGAACATGCACTAATGTTGATAAGGTTTTACTGAATGAGACCACAAACTTTAAAACCTCTGATTTTATGGTGATATGCCATGTATAATTTGTTCACAGCTATTGTATAAGTGCTGCATTTAAAGGAGATATCTCCAATTAAAATAGTTAATTCATTCATGACAGAGTTTCAGTAAAACAGTATTTGGGACTACGTCAGCCTGTTTAGTCATATGAGTTTCTGACCCTTGTTCAGCTCTGTCTGTCTTAGCCATCTTTGCCTTTGTTTGAGGCTCCAGAAATGGTTCTTCAAATCGAGCTAATTGCTGTTTCCCAGAGCTTGGCATTAAAGAAGAAGAGCTGGGTCACCAAACAGCCGTTGAGCAAAACATCCTATTAAAGTGCGGAAACAAAAGGCTGTCTCAGTCCTAACAATGCACTGGTGATTCAACTGTTGGCTCTGTGCACACAAAGCATTAATTAGGGCAATAACTTCATGCTATTGCCATTCCATGGCCTACACTTCTGTACAAGTGCGTCTGAAGTCAGGGACTTACTGTATTCCCCTGTTGCATGTGCAGATGTGTTACTGGCATAATGGGAAAATACTTGGGGAAACATGGGAGTGAGGCCCCGCAAACACCAAAATCTTCTTGACACAATAATATTCCTCATTGTGGCTGCCTGTAACAAGAACCGACATAATTATGTGGGCCCATTTCTTGTCTAATTAGCACACTTCTACAGTGGATGGGGACTAGCAGTTAGGCAGGAGAAGAGAATCAGACAGGCATGGCAGTAGCAACACAAAAAGGGGCCCCTGGTTTCAGCATAATTAGGTGAGACAATGCCGCTGACTGTTTTGAGGCATGGCAGTGGATCAGCGCTGGGGCCGAACAGGCGAGGGGACGCCCCGTGAGGTACATCTCCCCACGACCCTAATAAGCCCCTAATGGCGTTTTTTTTTTCTTCGATTCACATGAGCAGCACTAGCAGACACTAAGACTGCCTATTCCTGGTCCCATGCAGACAGCATGGTGCTCATCCTGAGGAAAAGAAGAAGTCTGAGTTGACTCACTTGGGACCTTTACCTCCAGACAACTGGTGCTAACATCCTGTGACAATGTCCCAAACGTGGAGGGTTGCCAACATGCTGGACACACTGAAGCAGCCATGGTTCTCAACAGAAATCAGTGATGTCCTCTGGTGCACCAACTGGTTTAATGGGTGCCAAGAAAACTCTGCCTATAATAGTATCATTTCATTGCGTAATATACAGCATTGATTCTCATGTTCCTGGTCAGTTAATGTAAGTTTCACTGTAACAAGGTGAAGCAATCTCAAATACAACAGTTAGGTACAAACAATTGTAGGATGCAGCTATGTCTGCAATCACTCAGCTTTCTAATAGCACAGTTATTCTACTCTTACATATTCAGATCTGAATTTGGTCGATACATTATTTTTTCTTTCTGCTAATGCAAACCTTGAACCACAAGCAGCTGGGCGTCAGGCTGCATTTCAACACTGTCTGCTGAGCCTGTTTAACCACACATAGGTCCATATGTTTGAGGCCCCTTCCAATGGCAGGTGGCGCTCAAAAGACTCAATATTTCATACGTCGCTCTCCCTAACATCCCCTGTAGTCACAGCTCAGAGGAACGTCAGCTCGATGTGCCCTCACTTCTTTAATTAGCTGTCAATTAGTGCAAATGGATCAACTCTTCGCCTTATTAAGCAATGCCACCAGGCAGCTGCTATATACAGGCCCCTGTGTGAGAGAGTTGAGAAAAACACAGCTAGCAAACTCGAATCATGAGTCCAACTTAATGTTTACACACTGTGCTTAGGGACTGGTGTGTGTGTGTGTATGAAGTGTAATGGAGCATGAAGCCACACACCTTATGCTACAGTGATCAAGCAATTCCATATAATCATCCTTAATCATATTTGTTTGATACTGTATGCACCATGATAGTTTATGTGCAGTACAATAGTTCACTTACATCATTTCCTACTTTAGCCTAATCTCACATTTATTTTTTCCCACACGCAGGAGTGCATGAGTAGCTTTCCATTTAGCACTTTAAATGTTTCTAATGTTTGAGTCAGTTATGTTCCACTTTCCTAATTCTCACCCTGCATTTCCCCTCCATTTCTTCCACTTGCAGCCTTAGACTGCAGGAAATTATTGTCATGCAGCCCTCATACTTCATTTACAGTCGTAGTGGAAGCGTAATCTCTGCAAACATCTGTTCACTTCTGACTCTCAAGTCAAAAACCTGTTTATTACTCTGACAAACTGTTCATAAAAGTGAATTCTTGAGTTGCCTGAATTAACATATTGCCACACATTTAAGTCAAGCTAACCTGCAGCACATTGTTTACAATTTAGTTCAGAGGTCAATTACACTGGTTTCTAGATTTTGACTTCATACACAAAGTAATTTTTCAAGGTTGTTTCATTGCTAAGAAACCCTTTTCACTCAAAATAATTACCTTCTTTTGAACATTGTTGTACAAGGAATGTGAAAGATGAGACAAGAGACTCGGCAGGATATTTTACACTCATGCAAAATGCACATGAGAAGATGAATATGGATGAAGGAAGCAAAGGTGTTACTGAAGGTCAGCTGGGTTACTAATTAAACCACCCACACCTCACTGTGGCTCGTTTTTGTAAGGACAGTATTGATCAGAGCTGTGATTTTTCAATTAGCAAAATATTACGCAGAGGTCACAAGTCAAACTCCACCAAGGAGACAGAAGGTGTTTACTTTTAACAATCAGGTTTTTTCATATATTTCATTTACTCAGTTACCCGTTTTAATTATTTTTTGGACTTGACCTTGACTTTCAGCTTATAACCCAAATTAAGTCAAAATATCTGTATTAGTACATCACATAGTTCTTTCCAAAATAAATAAATCTTCCCAGGAAATGGCCAATTACAGGCCCATAAAATAAACTATTATTATTGTTTTTCTTTAATGGATATTGAGGTGGGGGGGTCTGAAAACTGGTTAATTTGTTTGACTCTTAATTTAATAAAAGGTCTGTTTTATTGAAGGTCATAAACCAAATACTGACTTAGAGGTTATTACAATGTAATTTTTATGTTTTCTCATATATGTACTGCATATATTGTATTTTTGATACAACATTAAAGCTGAAATATCTGTTGGTTTAGTGTCACTACTGTATCCTGCCTGTTGTTACCTTTCTGACTTATGTCTCCTTTGTATAATTTGTAACTGTGCATGGGAAACTGTTTGCCCTCTGTGTAATCTAATCAGTTTATCTATTTTAAACACAAAACTTTCTCCACATTGTCAGCATTAAATTGTATGTGGAAAAAAAAAAATACTGAATCTTTAATTGACTTGGTCTAAAAGTAGAAACTACTGGAATAAAAAAGAAAAGAACAACTTACCCATCATAAGTTTTTAACTTTAATATTTAAACACGCATATCCTCAAGGTTGCTGGCTATAGGCCTGATCTATCAGTGAATCAATAAACATGCACATTTTTGAGTCCTGGAGCTGCGTCGCATATAGCATGTTCAGTCAAACATGCGGATGTGAGGATGCTTTGTGTCGTGGAGAAGCAGTTTTGTTGGCACGTGAGCAGTTCAGTCATGGTGACCGCCCTCCCTCCTTCCACCAGCCACTCCGCAACATTACAGGCTATAATTGTTATTTAATGGATTAAACATTCATCCTTCCTGTGCAAACCCCCAGAGGGCCAGATGACAGCCTCACCATGTTCAAACAGCTAAACATCCCCCATCACACACACACACACACACACACACACGTTGACGTTTGTCTCACGGCTGTGTTTGTGCTTAAAATTCAATTACCTACGTATTGATAGCTCTCTGGGGTGCTACTGAAGTGGACACGGTGCTGGGGGAGGTGTGGATGATTTCCCAGGAGGCCCCGGTCTCCTCTGCACATCTCCAGCTGGATCTATTTCATGGCTTTACTCATCAGCAGCAGACACAGATGGAGCTCAAGCCGCCGTCATACACCTGCACACACCAGCACACGCAGACACAGATAGACATGGGAGAATCACAAACACACATACAAGAGCTGAACAATTTATTAGTATACATGCAAACAGTGTAAGGGCAGCAAGGCATTTGGTGAGCTCTGTCTGATGGTAAGAATAAATACTAACATCTCCAAGACCCCTACCTTACATTTTTATGTAAGAAGGGCATAAAGAATTTTTTAGTTTTAGGGCTCCAACTATGATATGATTTTTTTTTTTTTAATTAAGTTTATAAAATGTCACAAAATAGAGAAAAGGGTCCACAGGTCAATTTCCCAAAGTAACATCTACAAATTCTTGTTTAACCCCAACAACAGCCCAAGAACCATGTTATAAAAACACAAAAGCAGCAAATCTTTCTCAAATCACTTTACTTTGTGTGGCCTCTACAACATTGCTTGCACATCTGTCCATCCTGGAAAGCAAGCTGGGGCTGCATACCTCACATTTATTTTATTATAATTATAAGTCAGATCAGATGACTGAGGCAGACTTGTTTGACACAGCCACATATCTGCTCTGAAAGCCTAATAACTTGCTCATTTGTCCTTGGTGTTAGCTGCTATTTTTAATTAAAGGGCTTGGCTTGACCAGTACAGTGCTCAAAATGAAAACATGCTTATTTTCATTGCAGTGTTTAAAAAAAAAAAAGACACTTGTTTAACTCTACATTCAGAGCCACAGGTAGGGGCCCACAGGTTAGCTACACATCTCAAAGTCCCCGGGGGCCTCCAGCGTCCCCAGAGGGGCACTGGCCTCATTCCCCGCTAATTACAGCGCAATCCTGACAGCCAGCTCAATCATGACAACACGCCATGGTCTGGTATTTTGCATCATAGGACAACAGGCGTGACTGACAAGACGGTAGCATGTGTGTATGTTGCAGGGTGGTAGTTGGTGCATTCATTCACACCATGCAGGGATCATTTTGTTGCTATTTTGTGACACCTGCCAAGCTCTGGCCTGGTAAATGCCCCTGAGCTTGGACACAGTACAAACTTAAACCACCAGTCAGATGTATGCCACAGCATAATCCAATATGAGATTTGATCAGAAAATAAGGCTGACCCTTTCTGTCCTCTGATGTGACAGGGTCAGGCTACAGCACACACGTCCCTAAGGATGACACTAGATCGATGAGCCCTCTACTCACTGCTACACCTCTCTGTGATTGCAGTGATTGTTCATTAGCAGGCTGCTGGACTTTATAGGCCTGCACACTTCTGTTGACCATTAATCACCAGACTCCACCCAGGTTTGCTCCCCTGTCTCATAAAAGGGCTGTGAAGAATGAAGTCAGTGTGATGAAAAACAGAATGAGATTTATTTGCTCCATCTTCCTCCTCCCCATGCTCTTCCTTCTCTTCCACACACCAAGACGAGCTCAGCACAGAGAAATGACAAGCGGGACCTTGCAGAGACACACCCACACCCGCAAATGTGATGAGCCACAGGGTGCTGACGAGCCTGCTGGCATCCGCGTGTGCGTGCGCGCGCATGCGTCACATCTGAATGTGGCGCTAGTGACTATGACGTGGACTCAAAAACAGAAACGTAGCCTAAAGGTAGAGCAGGTACGATAAAAGTGAGGTTTACCTGAGAAGAGAGGAAAACAATACGTTCCAAGCTTAAGCACAAACGCAGAAAGATTCGCTTGACAATCAGGAAGAAGACTGAATGAGCGGGAAGTGTGCTGACAGGTGAGGATCACGTGACTGGAGTATGGTGGAAACTGAACGAGGACCCCTGCTGGACAGGCAGGGAAAAGAACATGGCTCGTTAGTGGTTTAGTAATGGTAGGAAAATCTCAGAAATGTTCTGGGGAAGCTGTTGTCATAGCAACGGTACAAACTAATAATGAAATTCATTTTTTCTTACTTCTCACGTGTGGCCCCATATGACTGAAAGCACTTATTGAATGGAACAAATGTGCAAGTTAATCATTCCCAAGATCAAGTGTCTTATGTGACAGGTTCTTTTAGTGAAAAGAAAACTCTTTTCCTTCTCCCAGTTTGTATTTTCTGTAGTACTATTGTAGCCTACATGATTAAGCAATTTGGACAGCAGTTAGCAAATGTAACAGACTTCTTTCTTCACAAACTGTCATAGGTACAGTGTCCTTTGTGACTATTATTTTTAACTACAATTCTTTATTCCTTGAGTTGATACCTGTCATCCTCCAAGCATTTTATCACACCAGGAAAATGCAAAAATCCTAATCTAAAGCCTAGTATCACTTAGCAGTGGGCCTCTTTTCGAAATTATGCTAGTATATGCAACGCAATTCATTCATGTTTCCTCTGTTAACATAAAGAAAATTACGTTGGCTTTACACATTATCGTTGTGTGGGACCGATGTATACATTAAAATTAAGTAAATCCAACAAATCTTTTTTTTCAGTGTGCACCAAGAACAGATTATGAGACACTGGACCCCTGGGCTCAGGCATATAAAAGACCCCACACCCTCTATAGGAGCAATAGCCCCAGACTGAAAGAGAATGTTGTCTCTTTTTAGTCATTTAGCATTTTCTGTGATTATTTTGCCATTATATTTTGCTATTTTGTGTGTTTGTGGTCATTTTGCCTCTTGCTTAAATCATTTTGCATTCATATTTAGTGAGCTCTGGATTGACTTTTCAACAAGAAAGGTTAAGAGTTACTTCATACAGTGGCTGTAGTCCAGGGGCCCCCTCATCCATATGCCCCAATCTGACCATCACTCCAAGCCTTTACATCAAACCACTCAATACAAGATTGCACTTGGTTCATACACCAAAACACGCAGAGGTTTTTAGTGTAGAAAGCTGTTTCACACATAAATAAAGCAGAGTGGAGAGCCACCTTGTGGTAAGATGTTATAATTGCACTCTATCTATCTGGACATTGAGATCATGTCCTTGGTATTTCTGGGGCAATTTGGGGATTTTATCAACATGGGAAGGTAGATACATTCTATTGAATTGAAGAGACTGACCCATAATGAATATTTCACACGCCTGCTCCAGTTTTTCTGAATACAATGTTTCCCCACTATTTTTCCCCTGGCAGCATGGAGAAAGATTTGTAACAGCATTAATGCTGGTATAAAATATGCAGGCTACAGAAAATATAATTCAATAGGATAATATATGGTTGAATCCTTTACTGAATTGGCAGAATCTTAAAAATCCACAGATAGGTGTCTCTCAGGGTCTATCCAAGCATGCCGTTTGCTCCGTGATGACGTCACGATAGCCAGAGTCTAGGTGCTCTTTCTAACAGCATTGAAGCTGTTGTGTGATGTAAAGATATAATGTTGGAGTGTGTGTGCTGTGACTGTAGTTCACTGGTGGGTGTAAAAAGACCGGGTCTCGTTGTGTTACTCAGGCTGCACTACAGCGTCTATTCACGGGCGCGATCCCACTACTGAGCGGCACGGGGGCTTTGACCTGCTCCGTTTCCGACCTGGACCGGTGCACCCCTCCTTAGACGACCTGCTGGTCCCGGGCTCCCCCAGGAGCACCATATCGATACCGAACTTAGTGCGGACACCCGATCAGCGTAGCCCGCTGCAGCTCAGAGCTCCTGAGCTCAAACGATCCTCCAGCCTCAGCCTCCCGGTAACTTGGATTACAGGCGCGCGCCACCGCACCCGGCGATGAACGTGTCCGTTCACCAGGCTTTAGACTCTGGTGTCGTGACGTCATCACGGAGCACACTGCAGCGTCCGAAAATAAAACTACAGCTGTACTCTATAATGTGTCATTTTACATGAATGTGCCCGCACCAGAGTATACGAAGTCGACTGTAAGAAACCTAGGGGTGATGTTTGATGGCGAGTTAAGGTTTGACAAGCAAATCAACTCAGTTGTGAAATCTAGCTTCTTCCACCTTGGGTTGTTAAGTAAAGTCAGGTCATTCTTTTCTTTTAATGATTTTGAGATTGCAATCCATGTTTTTATCACCTCCTGCCTTGACTATTGCAGTGCTCTATACTATGGTGTTAACCAGTCCTCCCTCTCTCGTCTTCAGATGGTTCAAAACGCTGCTGCTCGTCTTCTGACAAGTACCAGAAAATTTGAGCATATAACCCCGGTTCTGGCTTCTCTCCACCTGCTTCCAGTCCATTTAGAATTGATTTCAAACCACTTTCTCCCTGGTTGTGCAGCAGATATTCTCTCCGTGTGAATCTCTTCGGTAAGTGAGTTTTCAGTGTTTGAAACGAGCTTACCTCACTGAATTAGTACATTGGCAAAAACCTACAACGACTCGTAGCTGCTCTGTGATCTCACTCCATGTTTCATTAGACTGTAACAAGTAGAAACTGCAGGTGTTTGTGTGTGAAAAACTGCTGTTTGTCTGGAGAAGAAGTTCGCCCTGTGCTAACACTTAGCCACCGTGTTGTGGATAACAGGAAGCAGGATAACAGGAAGTAACAGAAAACTAGAAGAAAATGCGTGTGGCATGATTGACCTTGAAGAGCTGAACATTTTGATACCTCAAATAGCTGAAAGTATGCTGAAGTAGAATTTTCTTAATCATAATTTGATTTGATTTGATTTGATACTGTACCAAGATCCTGATGTCACTGTCAATGGTGGTAAACATGGAAGGCACATTTAAAAGTAGGAAGTTCAGAAAAATTCTGTGAACTTCATGTGAGCTTAATTTGTAATCAGTAGCTTTTACTTTGAAAGTCAGGTACATTTTGGGGCCTTCATATGAGATTATTTTATAAACAGAAGCTTTTATTTTGAAAATCTGGCACATTTTGGGGCTTTCATGTGAGATTATTTTGTAAACAAGCTTTTATTTTGAAAATCAGGCACATTTTGTCACCTTCATGTGAGGCTAATTTGTAATCAGGGATTTTTAATTTGAAAGTCAGGCATATTCTGGGGCCTTCATGTGATCTTAGTTTGTAATCGGAGGCTTTTCTTTTGAAAGTCAGACACATTTTGGGTCCTTCATGTGAAACTCACGCCAAAAAAAGAAAGGTTGATACCGAATGCCCCTTTTTCAGATATGACATCCTACAGAGCACTCATGTCACACCAATTTGTAATCTAGGGCCCTTATATTTAATATTCAGTATCCTTTAGAGCAGACCTGGGCATTTTACGGCCCGCAGGCCACATCCGGCCCTTTGGGTGTCCCTGTCCGGCCCACATGAAGTCCATCAAATCAGAACATGAATGAAAAAAGTTCACGGGTGAACTTAAGATCCCCGACCTACCGGGTGAGAGACAGGTGATGTTGGCCAGCTAACCCTCAAAATGTCAACTCACGCCAAAAAAAGAAAATTTGATGCCGAATGCCACGTTTTCAACAAGACATCGACTGGAAAGTATTTGTTTACAGAACTCAAAGGTAAAGCGGTGCACTTAGTTTGTGGTAGACAGGTTGCTGTGTTCAAGGATTACAATTTGAATCGCCACTATGTGACCAAACATGAGGAGAAATACAAGAACTTGTTGGATGAAGAGCGCACAAGGGAGTCAGATGCTTTGCTAGTGATACTGCATAACCAACAAAGACTTTTTACAAAACCTTCCACACCCAGAGATGCAGCTTTCAAGACAAGTTATGTCATATCCCACAAAATCACCAGAAAAAGTAAGCCGTTTTCTGACGGAGAGTGTATTAAAGAGTGTTTGTTGGACCCTGCAGAAAAAGGGCGCATATGAGAACGTCCCCTTCTCCCGATGCACTGTAACGAGGAGCGTTGAGGACATTGCAGGAAATCTTTGGATCTACCTGTGAATAGACATTCTCAGTGATGAAGTTCAACAAATCCAGATACAGATCCTCTATCAGTGATGATCACCTCTCAGCTATCCTTTGCATATCCACCTCAGATATACAGCCAGATTTCAATGAACTTGTTCAAGCCCAAGCCAGACTGGATTTCTCTCACTGAACAAGTAAAAAGAACTGAAAATGCATATCTTTAACATGCTGCAAAACACCTTTTCAGTGTTATGTGAAGTTGAAAATAAAATGGAACTGTGATGTATGTGTTTTTACTGTTTATTACTTTTATAGGAGTATTTTCCTGTTTGACCTACACCATAGTTTCATATATTTCTATAAATATTTACAGAATATGCTTATTCTTCTGATTACCAGTAGCAGCTAATCAACACATATAATTTACTGCTTTTTCCAATGGGAGATAATGAATATTGAGCAGAATTAAGTTCAAGTTATTGTTGGTTCGGCCCTCCAACACAGTTCAGGTTTCTCATGTGGCCCCTTGTAAAAAT